GTCTGTTTGTTTCCATAAAGATTTACAGCCTTGGTAACCCTATGGGCCTATGGGTTGTTGTGAGTCAGAATCAACTTGATGGCAGTTTTTTTTTTTTTTTTTTTTTCAATTCTATAGTAGTGGGTTCAGTATATGAAAATAATTTACAATTAATGTGATCTGAATTTAAACTGTTGCTTATCATATTATTCATAAGAATAAAATAGCTTATGATATTTTCATTGGTATTTGTTACTATAAATCTTATTTAAAACTTTTTCACTTTGGGGATTTACTGTGTGGGTTTCTCTTCTGGATGCAGTAGAGCTTCACAGAATGCTCTGCTGGCTGTTCCAGGGAACCACGTTGGTGAAGTCGGGCTCTCACGGGTGAATTTTTTAATCTTTCTGAACACATTTTACCCTACCCTGTCTTGGAACCTGTTATGCATAAATTTGAGGTTTTATTTTTAAATCATGTAACAGAAAGTTATGTCAACTTGTATAAGGATAATAAGGTAAATAAATGCTGTATCTTATTTAACATCTTGCATGCATCACAGTTTTAGGCTTTTCATTTTGAAAAGTAAGAGGTTTCCTGAACTGGGCAGTGTTTTGTTCTGTTGTACGCTGGGTCGCTATGAGTCGGAGCTGACTCGACAGCACCTAACAACAACAACAACAAGTGATGTTTTACAAAGTGTAGTAATAGCCTAAATTCTCCTTGCTTTCATTTGTCATCTTTGGTGTGATCTGTCTTTTATGAAAATTATAATAGATGTTGTTATGTGCCGTCGAGTCAGCCCCGACTCATAGCGACCCCTCGTTGGGTTTCCGAGGCGGTATCACTACGGAAGTAGATTGCCCCATCTTCCTTCCGAGGAGTGGCTGGTGGGTGTGAACTGCCAGCCTTCTGGTTAGCAGTCAAGTGCCTTAGCCACTATGCTACCAGAGCTCCCATAATAGGTGTTAGTTTTCTTTTATTAAGCAATTGGAAAACCATAGAAATTTGAGAGAGAAGTGCAGCCTTGCAGACAAATCCCCAAAATACTTCAGTCCATGTGTTTTATTTTTTACTGCACTATCCTTAAGTTTAAACTAAGTTAATTAGTATTTTAAATTTATTTTTCAACAAAATGTGTTTATCTGAATGACTGGCTGGGTGAGTGAGCTAATCAGTGTCAACGTGTAGCTGTTTTGGTGGGTGGGGTGGTTTCCCTTCTTGCTGCGTTCCCTGTGTATTTCTGTGTGCACACAGGGCAGAGCAGGTTGCCTCTGCCAGCAGAGTTCTTTGGTCAAAGCACAGCATGTAAACAGTTGTCCTTTTCCTGTAGAACCTAGGAGCAGGTGCTTAAGGCTCATTTCAATGTTAACTTAATTTTTCTCCTCGTGACTTTAACATTTTTTGTTTGTGATTTCTTTTTTTTTGTTAGGTTGCAGTTATTCTGATGGATACCCAGGGGGCATTTGACAGCCAGTCAACTGTGAAAGATTGTGCTACCATCTTTGCTCTAAGCACCATGACTAGTTCTGTTCAGGTAAAAACTCCTTGATTGGGAAAAAGGTGCAGAGGAAATCAGAGAAAAGGGGCAGTCTGGTTTCCATTACTGTGCTGCTGTCAGGATTCCTGTGATGAATTGTAAGTGGTCTTTTTAGCCTGTAGATACAGGTCAGGCTCTTAAAAGGTCAACAGATAGCCAGGCTGTTTTTCCTACTTTGGTCCTAATTATCTGTAAATGCTGTAAGAAAAGTCTGAAATATTGAAATTATGCCAGTTAACATTCTGTAGAAAATGTAGATTTCGTAAGAATTTAGGAGAAAATACATTTAAAACCCTGAAGGAAGAATTTAATGATTTCAATCTTATATGTATCATTTTCCACATACTGTTATTGTTCGAACAGGTGTCATATTGTTATATGAAAACCTTTTAATTGTATAAAACTAGACTTAATTTGAGATTTTCTTTTTTTTTTTTTTATTAGGATTTGGGTGAAGATTTACAGAGTAAATTCACTTTTCATACAGCAGTTCACATATACTTTGTCTCATGTCATTGACCAAAATTTACAATGCAGCAGCTCCCCTCCCACTTCCTTCCCATAGTTACCTCCTCCCAGTGTCCATCCCTTCATACTCTTCGAGAGGCCCATTGTCTGCCAACCCTGTATATGATCTTGGATACACTCTCCATTTAGACATACATAATTGTTTAGCTTGTTCACCCATCTATCCGTCCCTATACCCATGTTTGCTTTCATTGACAACTCAGTATTGTATTTACAAAGGGGTTCATATTTGTTGTTTGTACTGCCCATGTAACTCTCTCTGTCTTTCAATTTGATATTTTCTTGAAGTAAGCCAGAATGGTATCAAGGCTGGATTTTTGTTTTCTAGATTTATAATTTGTCGCAGAACATTCAGGAAGATGATCTTCAACAGCTGCAGGTATATATTGCTCATAAAGTTTAAAAAAAAAAATATTTTAAGAGCTTGTTTTACATTCAGTGTAAAATGTATATTTCGTTTCATTCCCCATTCGCCATGTCCAGCCCTAACCCAGTCTCCTCCCCTCCCTACCCTGTAACCTTCCCCCTGTGCCCCTCATAATTTTGCACTCCTGTTTGTCCTGCATTTCCTCAGTTTGAATGTTGGTCCTCTGGTGTCCCATGGTCTATTGCTCTAAGGGATGTATTACCATAGAGTATGTAGGTGCCGTTATCCTGGGTTGAGTGGTCTGCGTGTACCTCTTGTTAACTGTTGGGCTGAAAGCCCGTCCCTGGGGGTGAGTTTTATTCCAGGCGCAGAATGTATTCCAGGGCCACAGTATTGGGAGTCTCATCGGATTTCCTCTGCCCAGTAATTCTGATCATTATTGAGTTTTTGGATTTTGTTCCACATTTTCCCTCCCACTCTATCCAGAATCTCTAGATTTGATCCTTTCCTGAGTGGTTGACATTGGTAGCCAGGCACCATCTTGTTCTTCTGGTCTCTAGGGCCATTGTGTCTTAGGGCTGATTGCTTCTAAATGCCTTTTTTTTTTTTTGGCATTCTTCTTCACTTCCAATGCTAGGAGACCGTTAGCTACATCTTAGATGGCTGCTTGAAAGCTTTTAAGAACCCCAGTCGCTACTCACCAATATAGGATGTGGAGCAGTGCTTTTATGTATTTTGTTGTGCCAGTTGAGTCTGGTGTCCCCTAGTATTATGGTCCTGAGACAGTAGATCTATCGGATCTCTCTCCCGTAGTGTCTACTTGTCTATGAGGGATTAGTCTGTGTCTGTCTTTTATTGTTTCTGTAAGGATTGCAGGTATTTTGTATCACTGGTGTCTGTGCAAGATTAGCCTCAGCTGAATCTGTCCATGGTCTAGAGTACACTTCTGTTCACTGTCCCCCATCTGATCATCTCAGGTGTTTATGTGTTTATCTGTATAACCTAGTGTTTGTTGTTAATGGCAGTGCAGTATTGTGGACATACTGGTTGGTATTAGTATCTGTTGTCTATCTCTTATGTGCACAGTTCAGTGTCCTTCCATTTCCTAATGTTATGGTGGTCATATATCCTTCCGTATATTCCTCCCCCTCCCCATGTCAGCATGTAGTCCCCAACTAGCCTGAAATTAATCCCTCCCCTTTACTCCCCATCCTGCTCATAAAGTTTTTAACATCATAATATATCATTTAAAGGTTTTATGATTGAGAACAATTTCAGGATTGAGTAGTTTTTCTTTTTTTCCCCCAAATATTTTACTGCATATTATTTGGTTAAAGTTTACATGCCAAATTAGGTTCCCACTGAATAATTTCATACAAATTGTTCAGTGATGTTGGTTACATTTTTCACAAAATGTCAGCATTTTCATTACTTCTGTTTAGAGGTGTTCTGGTGACTCTGTGGTTAAAGCATTGAGCTGCTACTAAAAGATCAGTGGTTTGAACCCATCATTGGCTCTGCAGGAGAAAGATGAGGCAGTCTGCTTCCGTAGAGATTTACAGCCTTGGTAACCCTATGGGGGCAGTTCTGTTCTGTCCTGTAGGGTCACAATGACTTAGAATCAACTTGATGGCAGTGGGTCTGGTCTGGTTGTCCCATTTCTAGGAATCTAGTTTCCTGCCCCATTGTCTTCTCATCTTTGCTTTAGAGTAATTGCTGACTATTTGGTCTCATACAGATGATGGTTTAAAGGAGCCTAGTACTCATGGGGGGTGCTGGTGGTGCAGTACCTAAGGCACTTGACAACTAACCAGAAGGCTGGCAGTTCAAACCTACCAGCCACTCCTTGGAAGGAAGGTTGGGCAATCTACTTCCCTAGTTATACCACCTTGGAAACCCAAGGAGGGGCGCTGTGAGTCGGGTCTGACTGAAGGCACACATAAACAACAACAACAACAGTACTCACGGGTGATGTTTGTTATTTAATGAGCCAGTTTGTTATTTACCTGACCCCAGGGGATAGTTTCGATTCAAGGTTTAAAGATACCTCAGGACCATAGTCTCAGGGAGTTTAGTTCCAACCAATCCAGAAAATCTGGACTTTTTGAAAATTGGGGTTCTGTTCTGCATTTTTCTCTCATTCCTTCAGAACTTGTCTATTGTGCCATAATCAGAAGGATCGGTGGTAGTCGGGTATCGTCTAGTGTGGTTTGTGTAGACTGTTAGTCCTGTAGGCAGATTGATTTTCTGAGGCTTTGGTTTCCTCCTTTCACTTTTGCTCCTGAGGACTGAGTAATTTTTAATGAAAGATTGAAATATGGAAGAAGATGTTTGGTTCATGGTGAACCTGAACTCAGTATATCCACTGGGATGGAGCTGGAGTGGTCAGGAAAGAATGTAATTGATTTGAGCAGGAAACAGACAAAAAGGGGCAAATAAGCCTCCAGATATATCTCGGGGGAAATATACCATAGAAGAGGGAACAGCAAGAACAAAGACTCTGAGGTGTGTGCATGGCAGGTTCAAGAAGCAGCTAGGAGATCAGTGGGTGGGTTTGGAGGGTGTGATGGAGAGGAGGCTAAGTGGTGAACTCTGAAAGACAGTGCGGTCCAGATTATATAGGCCTTTGTGGCCATTGTAGGTACCTCCTCTGCGTGAAATGAGAGCCGTGGGAGGGTTTTGAACAGAGGCGTGATTGATAGGACATAAAACAAAAAGATCTGGCTTCTGTGTTCGGAACAGATTGTAGGGGAGCAGGGTTGCATTCAGTGAGGCTGAATATGAAGTTGTTACGATAATCCAGGTGAGATTAAGTAATTATTTGTTAAAAAGTACCTGGCACATCAAATAACCAAATTCACTGCTGTTGTGTTGTTTCCAACTCATAGCTACCCCTCCTAACCCTAACCTGGCACGTACCAAACCAAACCAAACTCACTGTCGTGGAGTCGATCTGACTCATAGTGACCTTTCCTTGGGTTTCTGAGGCAGTATCTCTATGGAAGTAGATTGCCCAGTCTTTGTCCCAAGGGGTGGCTGGTGGGTTTGAACTGGTACATTCTGGTTAGTGGTCAGATGCCTTAGGCACTATGCCACCAGAGCAACCTGGCACATAGTAAGTGCTTAAAAAATGTTAGTCATTACTCTTCTTGCTATTTCTATTATTACTTAGTGTCTTCTGTTCTCCAGAGCAGGAGCAGTTCTTAACTGCTTCCCATCAAAACTCTCTCCCAGGGGTATTCCACACTTGGGTGAAATTCCTGGCATGCTCCTTTAATTTTCCCCATCCCCAGCATTTGAGAAAGCATACCAAAATGTTAGTGAGGTATCATTTTTATATAGGAATTACCTATATTCTATTAAAAAAATTATTTCTAAACTTTGGCTTTAATACTGTTAGTAGTGGTGGTTTGTGCTTCATATTTGATAGCTTTATGTCTGTGCCATGACTTGGTGTTGAAAGTCTTGCTCTCTCGAAAATCACTATTAAAACCTAAGCTTGTCAGCTTTTCACCTGAAGCTCATTTCTTCCTAAGTCACTTTCTTCCATTCTTTAATTCTTTTAATTTTCCAAAAGCTTTCTGAGAAAGGATACATAAGGTAGCTTTTTGGCAGTCTTGCAAGCATGAGAATATTTTTATTTTATCTTAGAATTGTAGGATAGAAATTTTTTTTTTTTTAGGATTGTGAAGACATTGCTTCATTGCTTTCCAGCTCCTAGTGTGGCTGGTGAAGTCCTACACATTGCTTCTGATTCTTTGTATGTGATTTTTTTGTTTGTTTGTTTCTGAAGCTTTGAAGATCTTCCTCATGGTGGAAATGTTCATGGTAACATACCTTAGTTTGGGCTTTCTTTTCATTCTTTGTAAGTTCCTATCCTCAGCTAAAATATAGCTCCTGTTGCAACCAAGAAGTACCAGCAGGATGCAGATAAAGAGGCAGGAAGGGAGGAGAGAGGGAAAGGGAGCGTGTGCACACACAGAAAACTTGACAGTCTGTTCAGGAGACACCTGATGGGAGTTTCAATAAAAGAATAGAGGGAATGAAGGGAAAGAAATGATGAAAGAGCGAGTATAAGGTGATGGTATAGAATTAAGGACGTGAGTTTCTCTGTTTCCTATTAAGGGCTTTTCTCAGGTGCCTGGTGCTCCTTCCTTGTTCTATTTAAGAACGACCCACTGAAACCCGCCTGGAAGCTTTCATAGGCGGCTGGGCATTGTGTACTGCTTTGGATCCCAGGGAGGTGATAGGGCAAGATTATTCAGCCATTATGTTGCCAACCCCTGAATATCTGTATTTGTAGATCTTTGTTTTTGGGCTGTCATCCTCTGCAGAGAAGCATTCTTTCAACTCCTGTCTGCATGGATAGATGCTTACTGTGGCATCCATCAGAGTGAGGGGCTGAGGGATCCCACTGTTGAGTATGCAAACTTTGACTTAAGTATACTTCCCAGTTAAGTAGGTAGGATAACTTACCTGTTGTCAGCTGAACTTGGTTTCCTTGTTTACATTCTTTTTTTTTTTTTTCCCCCCGTTTAACCTCTCTAAAGAGTATACTTCTTATCTTCTATGTGGGGGTAGGCAAAGGACTTGGAGAGTGAATCTGGGGAGGGATGTGACCAGTCTCTGGAAGACATCATGCTTGGTAGAGTAGAGAATTGGCGAGAAAGAGGAAGAGCCTTAATGAGATGGGCTGACCCAGCGGCTGCAGCACTGGGCTCAGATACAGCAGGGGAAGGCGCAGGCCCGGCAGTGTTTGGTTCTGTTGTGCAGAGGGTCACTGTGAGTCAGAACCGACTTGACAGCATCTAACAACAACAGGTGTCCTTTCTGCAGACCTTTAGCCATTTCTTTAGTTATCAGTCCTCCTCCCCCACTCTCCCTTCAAGGTAGCTGGTGCTTCAAATTTCTGAGCATTTCAGGGGTTCTGCAGTGAGAACAGCTAAGAGAGACAAACTTGTCTGTCGCTTTGTCCTGCTGTGGTGATGTGTTGCCATGAGTCTTGAGGCTGTGCCGTTGGTGTTTTAAACCCAGTGGGGTGCACATGGTGCACAGGTATCAGCCCAGCTTGCAGATTGAGACAGACTAGGAAGAAGGAAGAGGCCATCCACTTCTCAAAGAATTGGCCAGGGAAGACCTTATGAATAGCAGAGAAACACTGTCTGATACATTCCTGTGTAACTTTATGAATAGTCTGGAAGTATAGCAAGGATCATGGAGCTGGCGTGGGATCGGGTGGTGTTTCGTTCTGCTGTGCATGGGGTCGCTATGAGTCGGAAACGACTTGACGGCATCTAACAACAACAACAACACAATAGCAATGAGAATCTTTCTCATGTCTTATTGGCCTCTGTCTTTCCTAGACTTCTTAGCAAGGGCAGAAAAAGCGAAACCCAAGAGAGCCATCGTTAGTCTTCCCTTTCACAGTGTTCTGAACAGCTCTTCTGTTGTTAGGTGCTGTCGAGTCGTCTCTGACTCATAGCAACCCTATGCACAGTGGAACGAAACACTGCCCAGTCCAGAGCTAGCTCCATGATTCTTGCTATACTTGAGCCCACAGTGTCAGTCCATCTCGTTGAGGACCTTCCCCTCTTTCATCAACCCTCCACCTTACCAAGCGTAACATCTGTCTTCAGGGAATGGTCCCTTCTGACAACATGACTAAAGTATGTGAGACGGAGTCTGGCCATTCTCTCCTCCAAGGAGCATTCTGGCTGCACTTCCTGCAGGATAGACCTGTTAGTTCTTTCAGCAGTCCATGGTACTCTCAGTGTTCTTCACCAACATCATAGCTCAGAAACATCAATTCTTCAGTCTTCCTGATTCACTGTCCAGCTCTCACATGCATATGAGGCAATTGAAAATACCATGGCTTCTGTCAGGTGCACCTTAGTCCTCAAGGAGACTTTCCTCTTCAGCACTTGATAGAGGTCCTTCGCAGCCGATTTGCCCAGTGCTGTACGTCATCTGATGTCCTGACTGCTGCTTCCATTGACGTTTATTGTAGAACCAAGTAATGTGAAGTCTTTGACAATTTCAGTCTTTCTCCTTTTATTGTAATGTTGCTTATAGGACCAGTTGTGAGAAATTTTGTTTTCTTTATATTGAGGTGTAATCCATACTGCAGACTGTATTCTTCAACCTTCATCAGTAAATACTTCAAGTCACCCTTACTTTCAGCAAGCAAAGTTGTGTTGTCATTGTATCACAGGTTGTTAATGATTCTTCCTCCAATCCTGATGCCACGTTCGTCTTCATATATATAGTCCAGCTTCTCGGATTATTTACTCAGCATACAGATTGAATAAGTATGTTGAAAGGATACAACCCTGACGCACTCCTTTCTTGATTTTAAACCATGTAGTGTTCCCTTTTTCTGTTTGAACGACAGCCTCCTGGTCTATGTACAGGTTCCTCATGAGTATAATGAAGTGTTCTGGAATTCCTATTCTTCTCAATGTTACCCACAATTTGTTACAATCCACACAAACAAATGATTTTGCATAGTCAATAAAACACAAGTAAACATCTTTCTGGTATTCTTTGCTTTGAGCCAAGATCCATCTGACATCAACAATGATATCCCTCATTCCACATCCTCTTCTGAATCCAGCCCACACCTCTGGAAGTTCTCTGTTGTTATACTGCTGCAACAGTTTTTGAATTATCTTCAGTAAGATTTTACTTGCATGTGATATTAATGATTTTGTTTGATAATGTCCACATTCTGTGGGATCATCTTTCTTTGGAATGGGTACAAATATGGATCTCTTCCAGTCAGTTGGCCAGGTAGCTGTCTTCCAAATCTCTTGACATAACCGAGT